GGGCCGGGGGGCAGCCACATGCAGGCACACACCGCGTATACACACGGATCCCTTCTTTCTGGAGAGGGATTATTTTTATCATTTTAAATATAGCATGCTGATTTCTCCTTTGACCCATAGAGGGGGCATTTCTTTAAGGGATCCTGTTTCCCAACATCTCATTTGGGAGTAAAGGAGCATATAGAGCATATATGTACACCTGTATATACACATATATGCGCAACGCACATGCACGCATATATATGTGCTATAACCATGTCCTTGACCCTGCTGAGCTTTCGGAGCATTCCCTGAACAAGCTGAGCTGTCACCCCCCCCCCATGCTGCTATACTGTCAATGGCTTTAGTAAGCTGAGAAATGAGACCAGCAGCATTTGGGGTTTATTTGCTTGTTTCTGGCTGAATGAGAGCCGTTCTGTTTGTGTTGCAGCTTCGGCATCAGTCTGACTTGCGGGGAGTCGGAAGATCCTCCTGCAGATGTAGCTATTGAACTGAAAGCCGTGTTTACAGACAGACAGTTTGTCAGAAATTCTTGTGTAGCTGGAGAATGGGGGGAAGAGCAATCATCTATTCCTTACTTCCCATTTATACCGGACCAGCCTTTTAGGGTGAGTACCAGGACAGCAGCGGCATGCACCGTACTTGATAAAACGTAATAATGATCAGAGTTGCAGCAGAACCCGACTTGCCTCTCGTGAAATTGCAGTGTAGCCCGCGCTTCTCCAGTTAAGACATCAGTTGCGGGACTGTTTGTATTGATCAGAAGTTGCATGGAGATCCCGCTGCTGCATGCAACTGCAGGCAGTTCAGATGGGGCTATGAACACCTCACCGGGGTGCTATGACAAGTCATAGGTTGTAATACCGTGTGATGAAGCGCACTTCCTGAGCTTAGTTTTATAGCTATAAATTAAAAAGTACCTCTATGTTATTAGTACATTACGACTTATTACTGGAGAATGTAAATACTCTGTGGGACTGCCATATGTTTTGATGATTTCTTTAATAGACATAGTGTTTGCAATTTAGTGTAGCTAATAAGGATCTTGTTCATCCTTTGTCCCCAGGGATGTTACGCTGAGGTTGACCGTAGTCCTTCGTGCTAGCAGATTAAACAGCTAAGCAATAGCGATATTCTTTTCTGAACCCTGGGATTAAGTCTCCTGTGAAATTTAAGTCTGTAGTCACTTGAAAATGGTGTACGTGGAAATGCTGTCGTGCAAGGGGTGGACTGGATTGACCTAGAAGTAGATTCCCATCTGTAGCCTTTATGGTTATGTGAAGATGTCTTTGCAAATCAGAACTAACAAAGTATGCAGCTGCAAAGGGCTGCTTCTCTCTCAGCGGCTTCACAACATTGAGGAAAAAGGGCTGCATGCCTTCTCCATGAGGCTGACCCAGAAAAACCCTCCTCCTCCTCCCCGCCCCTCTTATGAAACCTCTCTGGCCCCTCTGCTAAATGCCAATGCTCTGACCAGCTGCCAAACTCTCTTAATCCTTCTTGCCCCCAAGATAATCTCCCCCAACCCCAAAAGCTCACCATCTCCCCAGATGCTTGGGCATTGAGAGGGTGTTTATGACTGGTTTTGCCGCAAATTGGTTGCGCTCTACTTGCCTCTACAAACTCTCCCATCAGAACTGGCAACACCCCTTGGTGCGTGTGGGAAATGCACTTGAAAGGGCTTGGAGGCTTGGTCCTGCTCTGACCTGAGAGGGTTACACTACCTGCTGCAGTGGGTGGTGGCTGGGCCCTCAGACAAGCAAGACAAATTAACCCAGAGCATGTTTTGTGGGTGCCCCGCTAATGACAGTTGACGTTAGAGGACAGCAGTATTGCATGTTTGGCATGAGATACTGTAGAAAGGGACTTGTTCTTTTTCTTTTCTCCCCGCCCCCCCCCTTTTTTTTTTTCCCCAAAACCACAAATGGAATTTAGGCTCCCAATTGACTTTGTACCTTTGATGGTGTCCCTCTCAGTGAATAAATTAGACTACTAAGTGTTCTCGCCAATTACTTGTGATCCAGTCCAATTATCGTTCTGGCGTGGCCCGGGGTGATCTGAAAAAATGGATCGTAAGCAGTGTTGAGGCTAACCATATCTTTTACATAACAAGGCCTATGGCTGGATGTGCCTGCTGCAGTGACACAGGACCTATGTGGCAGCATGGGTGCTTCCCTGTTACATGGAGTGCTACCAGGTCCCCAGGAGCTTAAGTGCTCCTGGACTGGCTGGGGCTGCTTCTCCTGCTGCAGCCTGCCTTAGGTCAGTTGGGCTTTGGCTCGCTTAGTTTAGCACTGGCCCCGTTCCCGTTTTTATACGCTGTAATAGCAGCAGAGTCAAGTGCCTGGAAGCAGCACTTCACTCCAGACTACCAGCCTCTTGAAATGACCCAGGATTTACATGTGGCTTCCCTGCAGATTTTCTTCTTAGCCTGTCTGGACCAGGAGGTCTCCGAGGGCCTGTACAAGAAGCGCACGTTCTGTACCCTCATATCCTTGCTTCCTGCCAGGGCAGCTCCAGCAAAGCTTAACTACAGGGCACCCACTCAAGCCACCCCTAACATCAGGAATCTCCCAACCTGTCCAAGCTTGTTCAGCTCCAGGCTTTGTTGCTTTTCCAGAGCATTTCTGCAGGGCTCTAGGAGGAGGGATGAGCTGTGTCCCTCCCTGATCCTGTTTGTGCCTCGTGCGAGCTGTCTAGCTGAATTCAAGCAATTTTGCACTGCGTTTCCCTTGCTGCAGCCCCAGTAGGGAGTCCAGTCCAACAGGGAGTCCTGGGCTGTCTGCAGCCACAGTAGTGAAGGCTTTTTTAGTTTTATTTAGTTTTGCAGCAGCTGTGTGAGTATGTGTAGGAGGGGAAGGCAAACCTATCCCTCCTCTTGTGTTCACTCCTTTCCATTAAATTAATGGAAACGTGGAAAGCATTGCAGAGGGAACTGCCCCCTTGTTCTGCAGCAAAAAAAAATCTGTAGCAAGGAATGCAAGATTTGGGTGGAGGTACAATGTCTTCCCCCTTTAATTAGCAGTTTGAGTCTGTTTCTGGCATTACTCCAAGAGGCAAAACCTCCCTGATGCCAGTGGGACTGGGTTCCAGAGTCCTTCCCGCCACAATGGTGTGAGATTGGATTAATGTCCCTGTGAAGTAAGAGCAGATCCATCAGAGTGCAACTGGTGACATGGAGGCAAACTGGTCTCAACCCTGGCTGTTACGTGGCACATAAGTAGCAAAATGTGTAATCACACCAACACTACTTGAAGGCTAATGGAGTGCTCTTTGTATTCTGTGAAATAACTTCCCGGTCACATTGTGAACAATGTGCTTCGTCATTTTATTTTTTACAGGTTGAGATACTTTGCGAGCATCCCCGTTTTAGAATATTTGTGGATGGACATCAGCTCTTTGATTTTTACCACCGTATTGAAACACTGTCGGCAATTGACACGATAAAGATAAATGGAGATCTTCAGCTTACAAAACTTGGCTGAGCTTGCCCAGGACTGCAGATTCCAAACCGGCTCAGGTGCCATCGTCCGTTTGGAGAAGTGACAGCCGGCTCTGGACACAGCTATGGTAGGAAGGCTGCCCCGTTCCTTTTCCGCATGCAGTTCTTCACTCCTGTGCCGATGAACCGGGCTGTTGTTTATCCTAATGAAGAACGTTGTTGGTTAATAGACATTGAGCCGTTTTTCTTGGATCAAAATAGCCCACCTGTGCTGGATAATCAAATTGGAATGGATTCAGAAAGACTTGCAGTCTTGTTTCAAATCTCACAAAAAGGCAATTTCTGAAATGCAGCGCTAAAACCAGTTACTGAACAGCAGTGACAACAAAGTTTTTCTTTTGCAAATATTGTTTCTGCACTGAAGTGGAGTAGTGTAGCACAACATAGGGCCACGTGCTGACGTCCTTACTCGGGGCCTGAGCCTGGTTCCATGGAAATCAATGGCAAAACTTCCACTCACTTTAACGGGGTACAATCAAACTGTCTAGTCCTTAGTCGAGCACAATTCCCACTGATTTCTATGGGATCTTTGCACACGCCTGGGGGCCAGCTCTTCTGCTGGTGTAAATCAGCATTACATCCATGGCTTGCAATGGAATTTTGCTGATTGCCCCCAGCCACTGATTTGGCCCAAGGACTGTGCAAAAACTGAATGAGGGTGCGAGGACACAGCCTGTATATTTTAGTCAGGGTATTTGCATAGAATGTAGATTGTTACGAGTTTTTGCACAATGTATTGTTAATACAATTTTTAAAGCTTATCTGTAGTTTATTTATTTATACTCATTGTATGTATTGTTAGTAAAAATGAACAATCTTACTGATGGTTAAGAACAGCAAAGTGTTCTGAATGTACAAAATGTCTTAGGTTCTTTGGGTAAACTTTACACATCATTCTTGAAAAACCATGTTTCCTATCGAACATTTAGTTAAATTTTAATGGAGCCCTCTAGGCCCTGGGAAAATGTGGGCATGGTAGTTGGTGGGGGTTGGGGGAAACTCTTTGCATATTCACTAGAAACTGTTTTTCAGGGCTTACTAACTTTGCTGCACAGGATAGGTTTGAGTTAAAGTCAATCCATTTTAAAAATTTAAACAGCGAATTTGTAGGTTTAACTGTGCTTTTATAACCTGAGAAAAAGTTAAATTTGGCAGTCTCTTAGTTCAGAAAGACAACCAGCCTCTTTCCAGGGGAGATGGGAGATTTCTTGCACTTGTTTGAGAACATATTCGGCCTTTGATATGACAATTAAAACTTGTCTAGACAGCCAAGTTATTAATGCTTGAAAATCAGCTACTGCACATGAATAATAACTTTTCAAGTAGCTTTTTAAATAGTAGTTATAGCTGTATAAACACAGTCAGTGTGCTACACTATAAATGAACACAGCCACTTTTCTTGACCTCTTTAGGACTAAATACACTTTTTTTCCTTGGCTGCTCACAACAGACTATAGCAGGTCTTTCTGAGTAGTTATAATCATGATATAAACATATATTTAGGCAATTTTGAAAACATGTAATATAGGGACTTTATAAGACACAGAATATAAAAACATCCTTTGTAGCACAGAATTTAAAAAAAAAAAAAAAAGAGCGAGAGAGAAGAATCTCACAAACAGAACTTTGTTAAACCTGCAATAATGCTGTGGTTTAAAGCAACCAGAACTGGAATATCCAAACTTAAGGGTAAAATGCCAGTTGCAAAGCCTCATTTTGCGCTAATTTGGCCTGCAGTTAAGAAGCCTTAGACTGCAAGCTGAAATTCCAACTGTGGCTCTAGTCCAAAGCCTGTTGAGGTCAATCAGAGTCCTCCGAGCATAGAAGCCTGATTATTATTTCATGCAAGTGCAAATCTCTTTGTAAAGCCAGGGGGGTGTTGCTGCTGCTGCAGATGAGAATCGGGCTGCCACCTATAAAATACAAGTTAAAAATGGAATTTTTAGCCTTAACAGTGACATTCTCTGGCTTTTCTTCCTTTTTTCCAAATTAAGAGAGAACCTGGGTTTTTTTTTCCAGAAGATCTGTTTATCTGGTGTGTGGCTTTTAAGTTGTACATCAGATTCTATTTGTACTCCAGATTGAATCTTGATATGAAACGTTCCTGTCTTGTTCTGGTTTTACTCTTTTACATGATACATGATGACTGTGTCATTTTCCATTGTATAAAGAATGCTGACAGTGTTTCGGTATAAAATATATTCTTAAAAAGGATGATGATGATAATAAAAATCCAAGGGAAAGGTGCTTCTACATGAGGTGTTTGGGTTTTTCTCCAGCTTGGAAATGCTCTATGGTTCCAAAGCAGATGCAGGCAGAAGATTAATTCTGTTTGGAGAGAGATTTAGCACCCTCCCTACCCAGCGCTTTCTCCACCGAGATACATAAAGCCAGGTTTGCTGATGCAGTGTCATTGCCTGAGGCTGTCCTGCTAGTCCAGCGGGCCATAAAGCAGGAGGCTGGAGAGAGTAAGTGGCACCATGACCCTACAGTAGCACAAAACCAAAAGGGATCTCACTGACAGCACAATGCCAGTAGAGGTTTCCCCTCCATGCCTTTACTGTAGAAAAAGGGATTTGGCTGACTTGAATTTTCAGCTGCTTGGGATTCCTGGTAGCAGGAGCAGGTTAGCACAGCTCTCGGACTTTTCCCATCCTGCACAGGCTTGGCACATCACAGTGCCTAGGGCAGGGATGCTGACATGAACTCGATGCAGTCAGCGGCGTCTCTGTCAGGAGCAAGGGCCCAGTGACACTGCCCTGCCTCAGTTCCCACCCGCTGTGCTGGGCACTCCCTTTTCTTCCTGCTCCAGTAGTTTTCTGTCTCGGGAAAATGCTTTTTTGAACCCGATTCTGGTTTTGCCTTTGCATAACTCCACCAACCGCAGCGCCCACCGCTGGATTCTGCCCTGTTGTGGTTTCTGAGCCAGGCTTCGAGGCAAGAAGGGCTGCAAACCCACTTCTGATGGGTTGTGGTTTGGCTGAGAGCTCAGGAAGGGGCAGAAAGTCACAGTTACGGCTTCCACATCTGTTTGTCTGTCTAACACCGGTTTGGATGCCTTTTTATTTTTTTGTTGCTCTTGGGCAGTAGTTATGGCAGGGGAAGGAAGGATGATGTCTACATATCCAAGGGCTGTTGCAAGCGTACTTGGTTTACATTCACCGACCACCGACCACGTGCATTAAGTCAGAGAAAACAGAAGCCTTAAACTTTTCTGTTCAGCTGGACTTTGAGCCAAACCCAAATGTTTAAGATGGGAGACTGTGCTGCAAAATTTATATCGGAATTCTTTGGTCTCCACAATTTAGGGATTATTCAGATCTTCATTTTGGATATATACCCTACCAGGCCTGAAATAGGACTGTTTCCAAATTGGGCCAGGTTTTCAAAATGTTTTTCAGTAGGTACAAGTAGTCTGTGAGCTTCTTGGAAGCTGCAGTTCTTCAGGACTAAGTGAGTGTGTGAACCAACTTTTGAAATCTTATGCTAGAATTTATTAACTGAATATTTCCATGGTTTCCTCTGAATGAGGAAATTAATTCTGAAATGAAAGAAGCATTGAATGGGTAAAACCCATGCGGAGTGGAATCCCTCGAACTTAGCATAGCTTTATTTTTTCCAAAGAGGAAAAAGCAAAAAAAACAACCAAAAAAACATGACCAAATTATTTAGTTATCTTTGGAACAGGCTGTGATAAAGCTGATTTAATTAAAAAAAGAAAAAAAAGGTTATTGCCTACTCAGAAAGAGCCTTGAAGTAATTCAGTATCGTGTGAGGTAGTCTGTGTCTAAACATAGTTCACATACATGCTTTTTCACAGCCAACTTGTTAAAAATGTTACAAAATACCTTCTTTTTGTGTCACAATTAGAAATGTTTGCTCCACCTTGAAAGAACATTTTGTACTAAATATTCAGATGTTGTCTATGTGAACTTGCACTAACATATATTATGTTCTCCCCCCCTCCTTGACTAGCTTGAGAAGAAATAGGCGTAATATTGCTAAACCGGTTGAATGTGACATCTGCTTGAGGCATAGCATCTTTCTCAAGGGCTGTTTTGAGTAAACAACCTGAAAACCAAAGGGAGAGCCTGATTCACCATTCTGCTGTGCCAGCTTTCCACCCCTGTCACTCTCCTGCTCTGAGGCTGAGACTGAAGCCCTGAGATTTTAACATGAGAGAGCAGCACTGAGATTTTTATCTTCTGGGATTTAAAACTATTCACTGTGGAGGAAACAGGAACAGTGCTCTCAGGCTTGGTTAGTAGGGTTGGGGTGGCATGACGTGCTGTAGTCCTAATGGAGCACACGTTCAGAGGGAGGTAGTGGGCATTTCAGAGCTAGCCAAGAGCACAGGTTGTGGAGCTGCGTGACAGTTCCCTGGGGATGGGCATTTGCCACGTTGTTAGCTGCCACCTTCTGCAACCCCATACCAGGACATGCAGCAAAAAAACCGGCGTTGCTGATGAGTTTGGAAGGCATGAATGCGTTCATGTTCCTGCTCGCCTTCTTTAAGAGAGGCTCCCAAATAAATAATAGGAAAATTTAAGAGTAGCCATGCCACTAAGGATATTTGTTTTCCCCCAAACATTCAAGCAGCGTATCTGATGTGGGGCTCATCTTGCCTCCCATCCACGAGAAGTGCTCTCCACAGAAATCAACAGCACTGCTTTCTGCACTGAGGCTGGTTACAGTGACCCTTCCACGCAGAAAACGGCAGAACCACCATTCTGCTGAGCCAGTTACTGGTGGCTCTGAGCAACCTCCCAGCACCCCTGGAATTGATAAAACAGCATGAGGAGCAAGAGTCAGGCTGAGGGCAGCCCTAAATCTTCACTGTGGTAAGCACAGAAGTCAGGAAGCTACGCAAGTCTAGGAATAGTTGGTGACCTGGTGAGATTTTTTTTTGTAATCGTGGGTATTGTTCTAATTTTCTCATGTGGATCAGAAAGCATACAGGTAAATGTCACTTTGTAATGATTGGGGAGGGGGCGTTAGAACCAAGGCCAACCCAAACAGGGAGAAAAAATGAGCTGCAGACGCTTTATCTGGCTTTGATACACCCTCCCAGCTCCTCCCAGCAATCACTGCTGTTATGAACATACACAATTACTACAACAAGGAGATTCAGCAGCATGTGCAAGATCAAAATAATAAACTCACACTTTGCCACAGGTCCTCCCTAGCTTCTGTTGCTAGGGCTCTCCATCTGTCTGTCAACAAATAACTATATCCTGCTGCTTTTAAAATCCATGGCAAAAATCCCCTTGACTTTCATGGAAATAGGTCCATAAGAAAAGGGGTATTTCTAGCTCTCCCTCTCCAGTTATTTTCAGCTGGGGCATACTCTAAAAATCTGTTCTTTCATTCTCCTGAGTTTATTTTTACGTATGAATAGAGGACTATTTCTGTCTGCTTTATCCATTTGATAGAGTGAGCAGAAAGCACAGCCTCTCTCCGCTGCAGTAACACTGGTTTCGCAGTTAGCCGATGAAATGTCTTGTATTCGTGACCTTCTGGTTTTAAAAAGTGAGGGTGTGCACAAAATGGCCTGGCAATACTGGTAATATGTATCATTCACCACAGATCTATTTTTATGTGTTGTGCCAATTTCGTAATGAACTTTTAATAACAATAAAACATGAAATCTTCACTAGGTTGTTCTGTCTTTTATCTGAATTATTAATGCTCATTACACGCCCTCTTGACTTCTTTAACTCCTGGCTGCTTTTATCTCCTGTTTTTCAGCTGTAGCTAACTTTCCTCATAATACTGCAGTGTGAAACTTTGCAATGAGATGTGTGGCTTTGGTAGCAGCTTGTGTAAAACTCCTTTACGGCTGAAATGCACTATACAGAACTTCTACACAGCTATACAGCTTCTTTCAGTTAAGGCTCTTGGAAATATTCTGCATGACCCAAACGGGAAAGGATTATGCCCTGCATCCAGTTGTGGCTGTAAAAAATGAGTGAGGTTTCTGAGGGAAACTTCAAAATCCAAACAGCGTTGAAGCAGAAGATGAACAGGATTTGAATACAACTAGTTCTGTGCTTTTTCTCCTGATAAAATGGGTCTGAATCAGATGCTCCTCACGCAGTTCATCCTAGCTCTAACACATGAGCATGGATCCATGGCCATTCCTTTTTTTTAAAGACTGAAATTGGCCCTTTGTTTACTATACACGATCCTGAAAGGGAGTATGTTAAGACATCTGGAGATTCCTAGTTAAAACACAGTATTAGGTAACCTAGATGCAAACCAGAAATAAGGAGGAGGACAGAGGTAGATGCTCACAACCAGCAGAATTGGCTGTAAAGGGTGTAAAGGCAGCATCTCATTGGCTAACTCCTACAGAGGCCCTTGAAAAGCTCTTGCATGACCTGTAACACTGAGTAAACTACAGGCATGAGTTTTGGGGGGAGGGAAGCGGTCACCCGCCCCACCAGGAGCACCTGAAGCGTCAAGTGCCGGGTGTCCTTCCCTCCCCTTCAGATCAGTACGACAGGCGCCTCACAGCTGGGCCTTATTTCGGTGGAGTGTTTCTGAGCTTGAAGTCAAGCCAATTCACGCTGAGGGATTTACTCACAGGAATACCACGAATATGACTCTTTGCTAGCACTGCACTGGATCTTATTTTTAAATTATGACTTTCACCACTCTGCTAAGAATAGAGGCTGGCTCTGAAGCACCACGTCGGCGCCAGCATTCTCCAAAGGTTACACATTTCTCATCCTGTTCAGGTTTTGAGGCTTCAGTTTCCACACTGGTGCCTCGCAGGACCAGGACTGTGATGCTGGGTGGGGGGGGGGGGGTGCCATTCTGTGAAAGACCCCGAGAAGGAGGTGTCTTTCAGCAGCCCCCTTCCCAGCTGCACATACTGCTCGGCAGTCAGAAGCGACTGACTCCTGGTTTGCAGAACAGGGCTTCCTTGCGACTCTGAAAGGTAGGAACAAAAGCCTGCTCCATCAGAAGAACTTCACTGAAGCTGAACAGTAACCCTCAGCCGCAGAGAAAAGAGGAGGATTTCAGTACCAGGCTCCCTCGGTGACCAGAGGCCGTGGGCAGGCTGTTGCTTCGATCGAGCAGAGAGGCAGAGCTCCATGCCATGGAGCAGCCTGTCGCAAGCGCTGATGGAGATGCTGGAGGTTTCTGAAAATGCTCGGTGGTTCTGCCTTCGCCTGGCTCTAAAACCCCTTGTGATGGGAGGAAAGCCAGTGCTGACAGTATTGTAATGTATGACAGGCTACAGTAGCAGCTCCGGCACTGCATGCTGGAAGAGGCAAAGAGGATTCTTTCCTGGCTGCTCTGTAAGAAATTTTCTGTTCAGTGGGAAAGATAATCACTGTCTAGAAGAGATCCAGACCAGAACTAAGGACAGAATATGGCTCCAGGTAGAAGAAACATTTTTGGAAGGAAGATACAAGGAGCTGCAATGGCTGCAAAACAGACTCTGAGAGGCAAAGCTGGGACCAGCTCTGGATTCCCCCCCCCCCCCATTTCCACTGCCTTTCCTCAGGGCTGGCAGGTCCTCTCCACAAGAGACAATAGGTGCTGGAAACCCCACAGCCAGAGGAATTCTCCTGTTGCTTCAGAGCTTTGTGCGTCCTCTACAGACACCAGCCAAGGCGGACTTTATGTAGCGCCACTCACTGAAGAACTTCACAGCACTGACAAGCTCTGCAATTTGTGCTAATTCATGGATGCTCCTTGCCGCTTCTGGTACTACTGCTGTTATTCTATGGGCAGGGAGAGGAAGAACAGAGACATAACAGCGGTTTCTCAGCACTTGGTGCTGTAATTTGGAATATACTGATTTGCACACACCTAATGTCTCCTGACTGTGACTTTTGGCTGCCAACATTGAAGTTCAGACTCCCAGGCCCCCTCCTTCACTCACCAGGCAGGCATGTTATTTTGGACCAGAATATCCAACAGTAAGATTGAGTAATGCCATACACTGTGAGTAGCTCCTCTGGGATCAGAGGGGCTTTTTGTAATGCGAAAGACTTCCAAAATGTTTTTGTATTTTTTATTTTTTAAATACTAAAAACTGAATGGCATTCCATCGATTTTTGGCAGCCTCCACTGACTCACAGTGCTTTCACCTACAATCTAAATAATGCAGAAGAGAAGCTGAAAGATGGAAGATCAGGTTTCTTAGCAGGGAGTTGTTTGCTGCACCTTGAACTCAAGAGATGATGTGCACACACATTTTCCTAGACAAAATACAGCAATCGCATCCTGAGTGATGCAAACAGGTAGACCCCTCTCAATTTTGGTGGGCGTACACTGATTGACAGCAACTGAGCACTTGCTGGAGTATGAACTGGTTTAGGGTTCCCAGGATAAACCTAACCTCTTTGAGCTATTCAGAAGATGCTCTCAGGCAAAATGAGGGGATTCTGTTTAGCAAAGGGAAGCACGTGATCGTTTTAATGCATTGTACAGCTGAGGCTGTGGTAATGTAGGCTAGAAGATGATGGTTTTAAGTGAAAGGGAAATCAGTTGTAATTATAATTCTTGTGATCTTTATGTATTACCAGCTGTATCGATTACCTTCATCCTGTGTGTCACTGGCAACTAGGGAATGCTATGCATTATCCCATGCTAGTGTTGAGGAGCAGCAGAGATTGGTGTATTTTTAGAAACAAGATTCGCACAGTGTAATTGTAGCAATTGGATGATGATACACACGCATATTAAAGTGTGAACAGATG